AGGAATGCCCATGCAAAACTGGGCCCCTTAAGCTCTGGGAGCACCTGCCCAGCTTTCCCAGCATGAAGGCATGTCCCTGGGAATCTCCAGGACACATTTCTATAAGAGGGGAACCCTGGCTTTCTCTGCTTACAGAGATGCACCCCAGATTCCTGGGAGTACAACTCTATAAGCGAGGAACACATCACCTGTTACCTCACATGACCAATGGGTGGGACAATGAGCAATGCATGTTTCACCCAATGAAGTGGATCAGCTGTGCAGGGACACATACTTGTACAGTTGATCCATTTCATTAGGTGAAGCCTATTTATAACCAGATTGCCTGTCTCAAAGAACCCCTAAATACAATTCCTGGTGCTGAAAGACTCTAGCAAGAAACTATATCTTAGTTTTGTTCAGTACTTTGAAGAAAATTATCAGTTCAGTTTCTTCTCTGACAAGCCATAGATGTCAAAGAACTACAGGAAATTGTGCAACCTCTTGTCAATAATAAGCAGCAAAATTCAGCATCAATAGAATATGAAGAGTCCTAGGAACTTCCAACTCAAGATCTCTCTGAGCTACATGGTGCTAACATTGTCAGTGTTGTATATATGTAATTTGACAATGCAATTTTTAAATGTTAACAACAGACTTAAGACCCCTTTATTTTCATGAAATGCATGCTTTTAACTCAGGCACTAGCCTTCAGGTGAGTAAAACACTTAAGCTCATACTTAACCTTAAGCTTCAAGTGAAATACATTATTATTAATTGTTTTGCTGGAACGATATGTCTTGCTGAACCAAAGCTATGAAAGTTTAAGTACATATTTAGCCTGACAGATTAAAAGTTGCAGTGCTTTGATTCTGATGGATAGACAATCATCCGAAGTGTCCCAGGGAATATTCAGAAAGGCACAACTTGTACTTCTTCAAGAGAAGTTGGTAGAATCCTGCTACATAGGAAAGCAAGCAATGCAGACACAATGTAAGGGGATCTTCATATCTGGATGTAATCCAGCAAAGGTGGAGTTGTGGGGCCTTTTGAGAAGGGTCTAGAAGAGCAATTTGCAGCCTGGAGCCTGTACAAATTCTAGAACAATATACTGTAAAACAGGTCTGATCTGAAATGTTTCTTAATAACTAGTATTTAATCCCATTCTACATTCCTTTCAAGGAATGCTGAAATTCTGGTTGTTGGCTATTTTTAAGGGATGCATTTATTTCTGCTGTTCTACCTATGATCATTTAAGAATGTCTCTCTCTGATATTCTGACCCTTTATACAAGAGTTTGCAATAGAAAATGGAACACATTTAAATTCACACAGACAATGTCCTATTTGTTATGTAGACTAGAGAGACGTAACTGTTCTGTCTCACTTTGGACATGTAACTTCTTGTCCACTTCCCTCTGACAGCCAGTCTACGCAGATGGCTGACAGCAATAAGAAGTTCTGTCCTTATACTCACTGGGTATATCTACACATGAAATTAATGCATCTGAATTTTCTGAGCAGAAGATTCAGGTGCATTAGGGCGTGTGTCTGCACATGCATCTCTTTCAGGAGCAAACAGAGCTTGACAGGAACAATCTAGTCCAGGGCTGTCTCTGCCCTGCTCTGCCCTCCTGAAGCAGCCAGGGGGAACTCCAGGCTCTCCTGGGTGAAAGCCATGGGCTGGCAGGGAGCTCTGGGGGCAGCCTCAGGCTGGCAGGGTACATGGGGGTCAGGCCTAGCCTCCAGGAGGCAGAGGGAGAGGTATCCCGGCTCTGGGGGTATCTCCCTCCCAGTCGTGTGGTGAATGGGGCCGGCCTGAGCCCTTGGGGGCAGGGGGAGCTGTCTTGGCTCCAGAGGCAGCTCCCTTGCAGCCACATGGAGACTGGGGCCAGCACGAAGCCCTAGAGGGTGGGGGAACCAGTCCTGGTTCTTGCTTTCACTCCTGAAGCTGGGACAGCTCTCCTCACTCTCCAGGGCTCGGGGCTTAGCCAGGTAGCTGTTGTGGTCCCCTGCTGCCTGGGGTGACTCGGAGCAATTTGCTCCGAGCCAGCCTCTACATGTGCACTGTGGCACATTAGTTCAAAGTGCCATTTTCTAGTACCTGTTTCTGTGGGTACTAGCAAACGGTGCTTTAAATTAATCTGCTGAGCAGTAATCGGTGTGTACATGTAGAGGCTGATGCTTTACTGTGCATTAGATTAGCCTAATGTGCAGTAAAGTGTCTTGTGTAGATGTGCCCACTGTGTTGTTTCTCTAAGCTTAATATTAATGGATGCAGCAAAC